AGGAGGAGATGGAGAGCCCAGCCCCCCCCCCCGAGTTATTTGCAGCTAAGGGGGTTGCTCTGGACTCTGGCAAGCCTTCTGTAATCTTCTTTGGGTGCATTTCAACTACCCTTTCCTCTGATTTCCTCTCCTGTTGCCTCTGTGTAGCCTGTTTTCATCTTGGTTTGTACCTGGCTAGGGGAGTGAACGCTAAGAGGTTTGCTCAGTTTAAAAAGAAAAGGGGGGGGGGAATACTTCAAGCTCATGATTTTGTTTCGGGACGAAATGATTATTTTGTCATTTGTGTACAGCCTAAAATTGCTAGTTCTGTTTTGCTGTGTTTATATAGTGTGAAGTGCTCTGCACAAAAAATTCGAACGGAGCCCCTACCTAGCTCTTGAAAAGCTTGCTGTTAAGCATGTACAAAACCCAATAAGGGGAAAAAAATCTCTTTTGTGAATTCTCAAGCCGTGGATTTCTGTGGACAGCTTTGTGGCCAGTTCAGGTTTTAGTGGTTCTGCGTGCCTAGTCATGGGGTGAAATGCATGTTTGTAGCAGTCTTGCTAAGTGGCAGCTGGTGACTCTGATGTTGTGGACAACAGCGAACCCCTTTGGGGTTTTAATCCAAACTTTAAAGAAGGTGTCCAATTTGTTACGGGAGAGAGGATTCAGTGCCTTGGGAAACTCCCGTAGAATCTGGAGTAAAACTCAGGATGTATTCACCGCCCTCTGCCACCAGACCCCACGGGTTCTCAGTTGCACTGCATCATGGGCTTTGTAGTTCCTGACTGCACAACTAACAAGGCTTGTTGTGTGTGCTTTTAGCACTGGAAGCGAATGCAGTGTAATTCTAGAATGTTAAGGCAGGCGATCCTGCAGTGCAGTCATGCGTTTTGCTCACTTCCGAGAAAAAGGTCTGGTGGAAAAAAAGAACGGCGGTAAGGACATATTCTCGAAGGCTTTCACGCCCGGTTGTTGTGGGCTTTTCGGTTGGCAGTGTAGTGTTCTGAAGGTAGTGAGGATGCTGCTCAGGGCAACGTAAAGCTGAGGGTGTCAGGTGATGCTTATTGATTCAAAATTTCAGATCTGATCTCAGAGCAGCCATTAGATATTCGGGGCCAAATGATTCTCTTAAATCTCTTACCACTCAAGGTTGGTTGTTACTCTGCTGATTTTGCAGGCAGTAAACTGACGAGAAGGTGCTCCCCAGTCAGGATGAAGCCGAACTCCGGAGAAGTGCCACGGCCTGGCTGTTGGACACTGAAGAGAGAAGGTGCATTTTAGAACAATGAATGGGTTGCGCCGTGCCATTACACTGAGCGTAGATCCACTGAAAGCAATGGAGCTTCGGCTCTCATGCTTTCACCCCATCCAGTAGGCTTTGAGCCATAAGGAATGCATGTTGTTGTTGTTGTTGTTGTTGTTGTTGTTGTTGTTGTTGTTGTGTTTAACTCATCATTCCGCCATGGCTGGAAGTGAAATTGCAATCTGGACCATTCCGAAATGTGGTTTGGAAGTGCCGATTTAGAAACTTGGATAATGCCCTAAAATGTGATGTGTGTGTGAAAGAGCGAAGCTTTGAAGCTGGTTGTGTGTCAGGCGGTCTTTGTGGTTCATTGGCTGAGATCCGCAGACTAGCGGCTTTTCTCTTGTTGGCTTCCACTGGTTTCCTTACACACGTGCACGCACACACACACACACACACACACACACACACCAGTGAGTGCACTCACTTGGGATTTCATGCAACTGGCATGGGTATTACTTCGAGGTGGACTCGTGTAGGATTAAACTGTAACCGTGGCTGGGAGACTTCCAGGGAGAAATGGCCATTGCAGCCTTTCCCCAGTGTGGCATTCTCTCTTTGTGTTGAACTACAACCCCCATCATCCCCAGGCAACATGGCCATACACTGGCCACTTCCTTTCAGGGTCTGTTCTGCTGGACTGGTAGAAGAGCTAATGGCGTGGTGTCTTCTTTCTTCCCCACCTTTTGCCTTCTCATTTGTGACAAGCCAAATATGGACAATTTAAAAAGTGACTTTATCTCACTTCCTTAAATTTCTCACCTTGACTCAAAAGGTGTTTGCATGACTTCAAGCTGTTCCGTGTCTCATGGGCTGCACGTTTTCTGCATGTTCCACCCCCCCCTCTCTCTCGCAACTGTTCATTCTGATCTTATTACAATTATCACTGCAAGTGGTGGCTTGCTGATAGTATTTGGTGAGAGCCAGTCCTAATTTGGCACGTTGGAATATTTTGTGACAACTTACTAAACAACAGGTCTGGTGGAGGTGGGTGTCAGGTTTCAGTATGATAAAGGATCCACTCCGGGATTTAGTACTGAAGAACTCCCTTAAAGTTCAGATTAAAACCCAGAGTGGATGTTCCACACAGCCGTCCATTGACATCTAATCTACCAACTTCCACTGAGAAGGTCTTTGGATCATTCTTGCTTGTTGTATTTCCCTTTTATCATCCACGAGGTAGCTAGATAGCTAAGTGGCTTAGGTTTCTGGCTGGGGAGTCCAAGGCCTGGGATTTGATTCCCCACTGGGCCTCCTGGAAGTAGAGCCAGCCTGGATGGCCTGGGGCAAACTTCACAGTCACCTCTAGAAAAAGGGAATGGTGAACCCCTTTTGAGTATTCTCTATCTGAAAATTTTTGGAAAGAATCACCATGAGTCATAATTGACTTGGCGGCACATGATGACTGCTACAGGTCAGGGATTTTGACCCAAAAGGAGTCTGGAGTGTGGTCCATTTAGGACAGCCTTAACAAGCAGTAGCTTATAATGGAGTTCAGAAATATTACCGTATTTTTCCGTGTATAAGACTATACTTTTGTCTAAAATCTTTAGACTAAAAATTGAGGGTCGTCTCATATATGGAAGTAAGCTGAGGAGAGAACAAAAACAAGTGGAGGGGGAAAGCAGGGCTCAAAGCGATCCTTTGATCCCTTTCCCCCTACACTTGCTAAGTCCCACTTAGATTTCTCAACGTTGGATTAGAAAAGTTGGGGGGGCGTCTTATACATGAGGGTGTCTTATACACGGAAAAATACGGTACTTTTCAGAACTGCCAGAACTGGAGGATTCTGGATGTGGTAGTCCTCCCCGAAGCACGGCCTCTGAGATCTGGCGTAGGAACTGTAGATCTACGACATAAATCAAATTAAGTAGGAAGTACTCCGAAACGGTTTACCCTTCCCCGTCTTCTGAGGGCCCTCTGGAGCCATGCAGCTTGTCCAAGGCTACTGGCTCAATAGCTCAGGGGAGCCATGCAGCTTGTCCAAGGCTACTGGCTCTATAGCTCAGGGGTTTAGGACTCTGGCTGCAGAGCCAGAAGTGGGGAGTTCGATTCCCCTATTGGCCCTCCTTGAGGGGGGCTGGACTTGAGGATTCCGAGGGTCCCTTCCAGAACTGCAGTTCTAAGAGGATAGATGATGATGCCAGGAGGAATCGAATTCCCAACCTCTGGCTCTCCAACCGACAGGGTTGTCTATCCGGCGATATGGGGCATGGTTTCTGCCAAGGCTAAACTATGAAACGTGGTTGCCCTCTTACCCAGAGCATCTGATCTGCCAGCTTGCTTTTTCTGCCCATTGCCGTTCCATGTACTGTACAAGCTTGCAACAAGTGCTGCCCTCTGAGAGAAGCCTCGCTGCCTGACACTCGAGGGGGGAAAAAAGTGTTTTCGGGCCATGAACCCAAAGATGTTCAGTGCTCAGCTCCAGAAACGTTAAGGTGAATATCAAGAACATGAATTGGCAAGGGTGGGCAGGGTGGGAATCAGGATCTTTCAAGAAAGCAAACCAGCCTTTATAAAAATATATATATTTTTGCATCCAAGGCAGCGTTAAAGGCTGCACGGAGAAGCGAGCAAACGCAGAGCACAAAATGACATGCAGAAAGCATGCCAGCGTTTGGGGTGCTGAATTGTATGGATGCAGGCCAGCTCGCTGAACCAGCGCAGGAAGGTCTGCTTTGGCCGGCAGCAGTTTTGCAGGGTCTGGGATGGAGGGGAGGAAAAGTGGCAGAGGGAGACGGAAGCCAAAGCCAAAGGTTCATAGGCACACGTGCCCACACGTGTCAGACCGGGGGAGGTAAAAGACGTATTTGATGTGCATGTGCAGGAGGAGCACACTAGGGGGCACTGAACCTCTGCCTCTGGGAATGAGGAGAGGGGCTAGCTGGGGTTAGCCAGAGCTTGATATTCGCCCTGTTTATCCACCTCCCCATGAGGTCATCGGTTCCACTGTTGTACTGCTTTAACAGTTAGGAAGTTTTTCCCCCCTGATATTCAGCCTAAATCTAGCTTCCTGTAACTTGAGACCAACCATAATCTGTACAGGAGAAGTATGGGTTATAACCTAACCCTAAACCTTCTTAGTGTTTTCTCCTCTTCATAGAACCCCCCCCCCAATGTCCCCATGGCTTCCCATCCCTGCGGGTTTCTAAATGCGTATTTCCCCCCACTGACGAGAACTTGACGCTGGGGGCGAGAGCAAAGTGTCTCCTTGCACAGAGACAAGAACTCACCACCAGATCCCCCAATCCTGGGTTGTTCCAAAGGTAGCTCATTTGAGCAGTATAATTTAGGGTGGTGGAAAAGGAGGGGGGGGATCATTAGGTCCGTACCGTGTTTAAACCTTTGGGAGCCGGGCGTCTTTTCCGAGCTCCTGTACATCAGCCAGCTACAGTGCCAATAGATTTTTCTGGCTCTTCTGCTCCAGATTATTCGTTTCCCAACGCTTTCTCTCTCTCTCTCTCTGCAATTAACAACAATTTCCATGACAACCTCCTTTTTACCTGTTGTTGTCTGCCAGTTGGAAAAATCTAGCACTTCTTCATATCAGTGAGCAAGTGCACGGCACGACACATACTGTGCATGTGAAAGCTTCGTTCCCAGTGTTGGGGGGGGGGGAGAGCAGGGAAGGTTGCTCCCTGATGGCGAGGGCAAATGATGGTGAGGGCAAACGATACGGAATGGGATGGGGGGGGGATCATTAGGTCCGTACCGTGTTTAAACCCTTGGGAGCCGGGCGTCTTTTCCGAGCTCCTGTACATCAGCCAGCTACAGTGCCAATAGATTTTTCTGGCTCTTCTGCTCCAGATTATTCGTTTCCCAACGCTTTCTCTCTCTCTCTCTCTGCAATTAACAACAATTTCCATGACAACCTCCTTTTTACCTGTTGTTGTCTGCCAGTTGGAAAAATCTAGCACTTCTTCATATCAGTGAGCAAGTGCACGGCACGACACATACTGTGCATGTGAAAGCTTCGTTCCCAGTGTTTGCAGGGGGGGAGAGCAGGGAAGGTTGCTTCCTGATGGCGAGGGCAAATGATGGCGAGGGCAAACGATACGGAATGGGACGGACCGAAGGTCTGGTCCCAGGCAAATAAAGCTTCTGGCCCTGGTTGAGCAAAACAGCTTACAGCCGCGTCCGACCTGAGGGTTGCTTCCAGAAACGAGCCTCTTGGTCCAGCAACCTCAAGCGCTCCAGTGGGGTTACGGGAGGCTGCATGGACCACGTGGGAGGCGGACAGGAGTGAGTCCTCGTGGTGGTACATCCACGTGAGGTTGAAATTGCCTGCTGGGGTTTGCATTCAAGAAGCATCTGCAGAAGGCTGCCCAGGGCGAGCGTACTTGGTTTCTGGCGCATGATGAGTTGTTTCTTGACCTGAAGCAAACCATGTTTCAGGAGAAGATGCCTTGATGGCTTAGTTTTCTAGCTCCTTGCCACCCCTAAGACTCACCTACTTTGACAAGGTAGGCACCAGCCGTGGGACCTGATCCGTCTTGGGGCTCAGACAGGTTCTGGGGCTGTATTCTGGCTCAGGTGGCATCTTTTGCATTTCCTGGAAGGAGATGAAGAGCCAGGGTGCTCTCGTCAGTCGCCCGTCCTAGTCCAAATCATGGAGATTCGGTCCTCCATGGCAGGTGGCTTAAAGATAAACAAGCTTCACTCCGCGTGAGCTTTTCGTGGACCACAGCCGAAACCCACGAAAACCCCTGCCAAAATAAAACATAGTATTTCGTTTGCCAGAAAAATCTGTGTTGCGTTTGCTGCAGCCGTCTTCACCCAGCTAGCTAGCTTTCCGGAGATCCCTTTCCTGCCTTTGGAAAGGCAGATATTTGCCTGCCTGGCAGCTGAAAAACAGAAGTGTGTGTGAAAAGGGATGCAGGGGTGCTCTTCATACTATAAACAAAAATACGGACGAGTTACGCGGCCAGAGGATCTACAGAAGAGAAGAGAGTCACTCTCTTCTTTGC